ACGTGCCCTAGACTCGCCCCTCTAAAATATGCTCATTTCTAATCCTGTCCATTCTTATCAGTCACAAGAAAAATCTCCAGCTGTGCCTCCTGTCTTCCTGTTAGTGCCACCGTCTCCAAACTGTAAGTCATAGCAGGTCTCACTACCATCTTGTAAATTTCCCGGTTATTCCTGCTGCGATCCTTCTGGAACAAATCACTCCTGATACTCATCGCTACCCTCGTCACCCTGTCTACACTCTCTTTTTCACCTCTCTTGTGCACTGTCTACTGCTTTAGGAGGTGAACTCCAGGTATTTAAACGCAGTCACCCTTACTACCTGTTTTCCTTTCTGTTTCACTGCTACATCTGTCTCCCTCTCACTCATACACATATTCTGTCTTGCATTATTCACCTTTACTCCTCTTCTCTTGAGTGCATACCTCCACTTTTCCAGGCTCTCTTTCACCTTCTCCCTACTCTCACTGCAGATCACACTGTGATCCTAGTCCACAGAAACTCCTGCTTGACCTCATTTATCAACCTGTCCATCAACACTGCAAACACGAAGATGCTCAGAGCCAGTCCCAAATGTAATCCCACCCCTCCCTCCTCTGACCCATCTGTCACTCCTACTACACACACCTCACCACTGTCGCACTGTCCTCATGACCTGCTACAGCCTCACATACTTATCTGTAATTCCTGACTTCCTCATAAAATGCCACTCTTCCTCTCTCTTATGCTTTTTGTAGATCCACAAAGACACAGTGTAGCTCCATCTGACCTTCTGCATATTTCCCTATCAGCATTCTCAAAGCAAACATCATCATCGCTGCTCCTTCCTGGCATGAATCCATGCTGCTGCCCACTGATTGTCACCTTAATCATGTGATGTAATTTTGAGGTTTCCATATTGTGTCACCTCTATTTAACAGTAAAAGGTAAATATTATATCTGTCATATGTAATACTTATTCAGAGCTCAATCTAATCCCAATATAATAAATTACATTTTTAATATTACACACAGGATAAACATTACTGACCAAATACAGAGTGCAAATATACTCCAAAACAAGGCAGTGGTGTGCTGTCAGTGACCAAGCTAAGCAAACAAACAAGCAGGACACAGGTCAATTTGCAGAAGTGTTAAGAAATACTTCCATGAATAAAATGGATGTGTTTTAGCTATAAAACACACTCAAGCCAAGCAATTTCTTCTCCTCATCTGACCGTCAAAACAAGTAGTTGTGATGGCTTCCAAAATCCTACAATTGCTTTTAGCAGTTCTTTTAAAGTAAATTTAAATCCAGCACAGCAGTGAGATGTACCCTTGCAGATAGGGCTACTGTCTTGCCTTGCTTCTACTTTTTCACCTGTTCTTTCTTATTGTTGTTAGAACAGTACCCTCCTTCCTGTGCTGTCAGAGAAGCATATTTGAATTGAGCTGAAATGAAGCGAGAGAGAGGACAAATGAAACAAAGAGAGCAAGGGAAGGGGAAAAAGGAAGGGGAAGGGAAACAAGAAGTCAAGCGATTAAAAGGCAATTTAAGGTGGAAAGACAGAGCTAACCTGCAAACAGGATTTCAAAACTGCAGAGTGAAAATGGCTCAGGGAGGGAGTGAAGGCTTGAGAGAGCATGTGAGAGAGACAATGAGACAGAAAACGGGAGAGAGAGAATTAACCTGCAATCAGGCCTCTATTTAGCTGCAGTCAGCCACAATCAGCAGCCATATTAGCATTTAATTAGATGGAGAGCCACAAACCACGGCCTGTCGCTTCGCTCTGATTACCTCACACACTGCTTTCATGTTCCTGTGTGTGCGCGCTTGTGTCTTGAGGCTTACCTGCGTATTTGCTCATACAGCATACCTACGATCACAAATGCCTGTACATATAAATTTGTTTGTCTAGACATGGGAATACGTCTATTTGTCAATGCATGAGTGCTCATAGAAGAGCGTGCTTGTGCTGGTAAGAGACTGAGCTTTCCCGTGCAGTGCTTACACCATGAAATGACTGCTTGAGTATTAGTTTTGATTCATCCTGAATACCATTCTACATGTACAATGAGATTGTGGGTGCTCCACACCAACTGTGCCTGAATAAAATATAAAAAGTAGACAGCAGGAATAAATAACAAACAGGAGAAAGATAAACAATCAAGAGGAATATATACAAAAAAATAGGAGAAAGACAGACATTAGAGAACAAAAAATAGTTGCAAAGTTCTTAAAAGTAGTGCAAAGAAAAGTCTGAATAGAGTCCCTATGTCAGAGGCCTGAGTCATGGGGTTACTCATACCATGGCTCAGATTGGTGAGGTGGGTGGGATGTGGGGGGATAGTGTTTGTTAACAGTCTGAATGCCCCAGGGGAAGAACCTGTTTGTGATCCTGGAGGTGTGGGACCTGATTGACCAGAGGGCAGCTGGTCAAACGGGTGGTGGGCGGGGTGTAAGGGTTCACCTGTGATTTTGGCACTGGTTTTCCTGACACACGGGGATTTGGCTATGGCCTCATGAGATGGCAGAGGGCAGCCAATTATTTTTTTTGGGTGGTGTTAGTTACCCTCTGCGTAGCCTTCCTGTTCTCAGTTGTGGCCCCTGCATACCAAACACCCAGGCAGCAGGAGAGCACGCTCTCCACTGAGGAGGGGAAGAAGGCCAGCAGCAGCTTCCGGTCCAAGTTATTCTTGGACCGGAAGTACAGCCACTGCTGGTCCTTCTCCAGGGTGTTGGTGTTGTGGGTCCAGGTGAAGTCAACAGAGATAACCACACTAATGTGTGTGTGTCTGTGTGCTCTTGAGCAGGCGCAGGTGTACACAATATTTCTAAAAACAGTCCTCTAAGCGCTGGTTTGGTTAGACACAGCTGCTGCATGTGTTGGTTTGAAAACTGCTATGATTTACTATGTAAATAATTATAACAGGTGGTCTCAGCCAATAATGGCTCATGTTCCAACTATTCCAATACTTCTAACTGTCTTTAAAATAAGAAAAATGCAGACTGCTGCCGTTTGAGCCTTTTATCTCTCCTGTATGATTTAGAAATGTCTGTGACACAAGAGCAGCATTTACACTTTTAAATTCACAGTTAAAATGTTCTTAAGGATGAACATTTTATACACATCTCTGTATATGGGCCAGCCTGTTATTTGATCTCACAGCTTTTAGATCTATGGCTATCTCTGCAATGTGTAGGTTTCCGCCACAACAATAAAAAGCACTTCTGCATGTGTGTGGACAACATCAATAAGAGGTTGTCATAAAATGTAACTCTAAAAGTTATTGCTTTTAGAGTTATATTTTAACAAATAGACCAAGTCTTCAAAACAGAGTAACACATAAATAATTTAAGACTTTTTAAAATTTTGATCTTCTGTGTTTTAAGAATGATTTGCACCAAACTTGTGTAGATTTTCAAAATCATTTGGCAATATATACTGTATGAACATATGGGATACATTTTAACATGACTTTTCTTAATAGTGTGGTAAAAACATGCATTATAACCAAACAAAGGTAATTTCATAAAGGTAATCAAGTCAATCAAACAGCCACAACAAGTGGATTGTAAGGAAGGTGTTTGTGTGTTTCTCACTGTTGTTTTTATGTTAACTGTGTGGAATTTGTTTTTTTTCAATTGCAATGAAAATTTTCTTATAAATTTTTTTATACATGAACATTGTGTTCCCCATTTACATTCTTTATACCAAAAATAAAAACCCCGGTGAAGCCAATTTACCAGGATTTTATATATATATATGTATCTCTTTAGATGGATTAAAAGCACTTTTGCCCTTTATGTCAATTCATTTCCACATATGTTGTTACCCTTGATACGATGCGTGGTTTCCTTTGGAAAGACAGTCATAACACAGTTTATCCACCACAGCTCATTGTCCTCCAATGTTACTTAACAAACAAACAACAGGAAACTGAAAAAAATGCATACTCTGCCAAATAATCCAGTATGAATTGGGCTCTAGAAAAGATACTAGTAATGCAGTTTTCTAGGCAGGATTAATACGACAGTGAATCAGAGGTTACGTAGTTTGCAATAATACCAGTTCAGGAGCAAAATACATTACATCATCTAATGCATCCAGTTTGAGGAATTACTTTATCCTACCAGCAATCTCATCAATGAAAGTGGATATAAGTGTGCATAGGCTTTGCTGTCTTTCTCCCTCTGCATAGTTGCAATGACAATCTGAACAATGAGAACCTGACAATGAAACCACAGAGGCATGAACGTACAGTATATGTGGTATACAGCGCAGAGACAAAAATATGCAACACATGATATACCAGAGAGCCACGCTCAGTCATAGACACACATACAGAGATGTAATGTCGATATCACTGGTAAAGATCTTCACTTCTTTTTATGCACTTAACATATCTGCTCTTCAAAGTGTTAGAATAGTAGAAAATGCACATTATCTACCCACAGTTCTGCTAAAAGTCCAACACAGTAATACCAGCTTACTCTCATACCTGACAGAATGTTTAAACTGACAATGACAACCAAAGCCACAAGAGTCTCTGCAGACATGACATATCCATATTTATAACTTTAGCGCCTCTAGTGGGGCAGATATAGACAGACAGTCTCAGAGCATGATTGCTTTTATTTTTAGTTGTTGTTCACTTTGTTTCAGTAAAATATTGATAGATAATAGTTCCTATTAAAGTAATATATTACTGTCTTTGTGGTTGTAGTGCTAGGCACTGCTCTCTTATGTGGTATTTTTAAATGACCTCCATCCACTATAAAAAAATGACTGATAAAATATTGAATATTAAAAATTGAAAAAAAAAAGGAAAAAACGACCTATTAGGTTTTAGATCAATGAACCCATGCTGAAAGGAGATTGTCCTTCAAGTTTACATAACTCACTGCCTAACAGACACAAATAATGTATCTTGGAGGCCTGTGTTTTATGAATTAATCCATCAGTCATGTTGATGTCCTTTGCAGGTTTGCGCATATGTGTGTGTGTTTCATTACCACTTACCTCCATCATCCTCATCAAAGGAGTTCATGCAGGGGAAGTAGATAGCGAGGGCCTCAAAGGACGCTGACAGGCTGATGCGGCTCTGCGACCTCTCCATGTAGAGGCCCGTCGTCGGGCCCGGGTCGGCCGGCTTGGCCAAGCGCGGCTGGGCATTTTTCACGCGGAGTACGGCTCGCGGCGTCTTGGATGGTTGTCAGCTGCCCCCCACGGCAGATCCACTTCACTCCAAAAAGAACAGTCAAATGAGAGCCCCAAGGCACTCACACCGACTTGAATCGGTGCAGAAAGTTACTTGCACTGACTGGTGGCACAAGTTGACATGAACTAAAGTTTTTGCTGTTCGTCTTTCTCTGTATGTGAAATTAATGTCCTCTGGTGCAAAAACATGATAGAAATCTGAAATGTGGAAAGATATACGTCAAGGTTGCTCACTTTTGATCAGGTAAATAGTTTCAAAGAATAATTATGGATCTATCTGTGACCGTGTGCTCCAGGGTTAGGTCTCTCTTTTCCTGTCATCTCTCCTCTAGTTATTGGCTTCTGGTTTGTTGATCCTCATGTGCATTGTCCTTTTCATGTCTCTCATGTCGTCAGAAGTCAAAATGAGAGTCAGGTGGAACTACTGACGGCACCCGATCTCACCTGCACCGTTAAAACGAGATCTTGCTCTTTGATTCACAGCAAAACTCCCTAAACTCTGCACTCTGCATGCCAGTCTAACATCCTCCTGTTTGTGCATTCAAAGCTCGAATTTCTTCCTTAGATCCCAGTGTAGAAAGGAAGATGTGGATGTGAGGAGACACTGATGGTGGAGGTGGTGCTGACGCCCAGCAACGTGTTGCTTTACGACTGAATCAAAGCTTTTGGTTCCTGTCGCTCAGCACTGTTAATTCCTTCCTCTTTGTACAGAGCAAAAGCATTTCTTTCAGACAGAGAAACTGACCACGAGATGCCAGGAGCTGTTCCCAGTCTGCTTCATTTCCAAGCCCAGAACATCAGTTGTAGCAGCAATTGCAAGTGAGGACAATCTGTTGCTTCTGCTCTGCTTTCAACTGTATTACAATTGATGTTCTGCCGTAAATGTTCTTAATTGTTTTCTGTCAGCAGTTGTCGACTTCGTCCTCCTCCGTCAGTCCTGTGCCGCTCTGATGCCGTGCCGATGCTCCACTGACTGTCTGCTCCAGAGACGGGAGAGGACAGAGAGAGAGAGAGAGTAAAAGAGATGTGTGAGCGAAAGAGAGAGAGAGACTGCACTGTTAAACAGCTTGTGTCTGACTGGACTCATTCACTGGCAAGCTGCATGGAGAGGGAGATGGAGGGGGGGGAATTGGAGGGGGAGGGAGGATGGATGAGAGGGGAAAGCAGAAACGGGGGGGAGAGACAGAGAGCAAGAAGGCAGGAAAAAGGCGGTGGGAGAGGGGACAGAGTGCAGACTGTTGCCTGCAGCCCAACCAATCAAAATGTGGATGAGGGAATATGGGTGTGGCTTGGGGATTGTCGAGGAGATGTAGGGCAGTACAAGTGCACATCGTCTCTCACTCGTTCTCCTTATGTTTCAGTAACCATTAACCTTTTTTTTTTTGAGAAAATATCACAAATGCATAAAAGAAGCCAGCAGTCACTTTTACAATGGTAAAAAAAATACATCTTTCTTTAATTTCCATACTGAAAGATGAAGCTGAGGTATGATATTATTTAGGATCTCAACCCTCCTAAAGTAATCCACAAAAACACATCTTCAAAATGGGTCAGTGGTTGTACTTTTATTTTCCCTTAGTGTTTTCATATCCGGAGAAACCCTTAGGCATTTCTATCTAACCAGCTGGACACACTAATAAGATTTAATTAAGCTTAATATGGATGTTGCTTTCAATCTATTGATCAAAAACATAATTTAGAAAAAAAATTATAAATATAATGTTTAATGTGCACTGTGGTCAAAAAAAAAGATGCAACTATGAAAACAGCTGTTTATTGTATTTCTTGGAAATTAATTTGATTTTAAAGAAGTTGTAAACTGTTGCACATAAAATAGTCACAAAAACGCAAATGACTGCCCTGTTTTTTATTTACACTCAGCACAACTGAGTAAGAATAAGAGTTTTTTTGATATTGTGTAACCAAGTAGGCTATATTATCTAAACCTAGCCATGCAGTTTTCATTAGTTACTGTGACTAACTTGTCATGAAGAAGTTGACTATGCAACACTTTAAACCTCTGGGGATCACTTTCAATCACAAGACAATTGCATAGGTCAACTATTGGGAGGCAACCTGTCTCCAAAAAAAAATCGCGATTCAGGACTCACAGCAATCACTCTCACCCAAGGTTTGGCTATAACTGCTAATGCTAATAATTGCTGATTTATAAACACAGACAGATTCCCAGATTTGCATCAGAAGACAACAGCTTGCAGTCTTCACTGATTTATCAGTTATTAGCTTATTATCACAAATGGATTGCAGGATTGAATTGATGAGCAACTTGACTCCATTCGATCACAAACAGGCCACACTGAGAGGAAACTGATTCCATCTTATAGCCGTTTTACTGCATCTCGAGACACCAAAGTTGTTTTGAACACAGCAACTTACTATGTCTTATTTCAAAGACAATGCCAATGAGCTGCACTGCAATAGTCACAAAAATGTGGTCATAGTGCAGTCTCAGTCTCTAACCACTGTTTTGCCCGAGTGTGACTGTACCATATATGCCGGACCCTAAACATATAATTTTTTATAACCTCAACTGAACCACATAGTTTTATTACCGAAACCTAATCAAACAGGTTGGGTTTTGTTTTGGGTTTTTTTGATACAGGTGCCCAAACCTAAACGTGTAGCAGTGGCGTTTTCATAAAGTAAGCCAGACAGATCATAGAACAGATGGGTATTCTGTATTTTGACAGTTTCCTGGATGTTGATGAACTCTGTCTGGATATCTTCACCATTCTGCAATGCTTCCTGGCTCGAGAATTGTTGAAAATGACTATAATGATAATCAAAACAATATATTTACCGTTTCATGACAAGGACTCAAAAGAAAGGAACTGTTTAAGAGCTGTAAAAGAAGCAAAACCACACTAAACACCTCAGTACTGTGTATTAATAGCCTCCTTTGGGCGACTGTTATTATTTTGCAGAAAAATGTTTCCTGTCACTATTATGTGGATCAGTATGACTGCTGCAGATTGTAAAAGCTAAGCTAACTTTAAAAACATTAGAATCATATTCTGTAATATTTGTTTGTATGACAGGTTTGTAGTTTTTCCCAGAAGGACTTCGTACAGCTAAAAAACAAAAAAGAAAATAATAACAACAAAAAAAAAACTATTCCGAAATACATGAAGGTCCACACACAGCACAGCATGTTCTATGTGCTTTGGACAAATTTAAAAGGGAACTTTGCACAAACTAAATGTATGGAGAAACTACAAGAATGTATCATGCAATGGCAAAAGTATGCAACTATGTACTTTCTGGGCATATACATACTTTTTTTAAATTTCAGAATGGGTTATTGTTTCTATGCTTCTAATAGGCTAATGTTAATATAAGATTGGAGTAATATCTCTGCAAGTTGGTCTTGACAGTGCTTAATTAAATTCTATTTCCCTTCTTGCATTTTCATGTGTATATGACTGGAAAATCCCAGTTCCAAAAAACACATGCACACCTGTGTATGTGTGATGTGCTATTTTTTTATTTTGAAATTACAACTGTTAACAGTTAACTGAGTTATCTATATGGACTGAAAATAATTATCAAAATTTAATGCTGTTTTTTACATTTTTTTCTGTAGAGATCTCTAGACAGTGCTTTCACAAGCTTCCTTATTGTGGCTATCCTGTTAGCAGAGATTTCATTGCTGTTGTCCTCCACATTTTATTTATTACATTAGTTTGCCAATATGTCAATAAGACATGCAATCTGTCCAGCTGAAGTCACCTGAAGAATCAATTGCACTGACAATAAATGTTTAATGTGAACAATTTAAATATTGTTTTTTTTTCTCCACATGTAAATTAAAATTGGACAGGCTACAATTGACAGACATGTCTAAAACACTAATGAAACGAGCCCTTTCAGAGCTTGTAGAGTTTTTAAACGAATCCATTCAAAGGAGACAGGGACAAAAACCAATCTAAAGATATTGGATACTAAAGTGCAACCTATGGGAGGGAAAAATACATTGCACTTAATGATGCTACAAATAAAGAGTTTATTGTGGAAAAACAGCAACAAGAAGGTTTTTCACGTAGAATGAAGTAAAAAGACAGCATGAAGCTCCAATATAAAGGTGAGCATTCACATCTGCCAGGCGAAAATTGAAATGGACAGGTCAGTCGATATCAATCAGATTCAAACCCCTTGTATGGGCTTTCTTTTTTTAAATCTTTTTTTTTATTTTTGTTCCTCTCGCTGTGTTTTCTTCCTGCTTTTGTCCTTGTTTTATTCCTCCTTCTTTTTCATCTGTCCCTTCACTCTGCCCGTCTTTGTCTCCATACTGTGCACTTTTTCCCTCTTCCTGTGCAGCAGAAAGACAAAGGAAGGAGGCAATAGGATGTGAAATCCATGTTGCTTCACAGAGCTCCATTCATCTCTGTGCTCCTATAGTTAAAAGCCATAGGGGACACACACCCATAATGAAAACAAACAACACACTGCAGTGACTGAGTCACACAAGTACACAACTCCACAAAGGCAAAATGTGGTGAGTCATCTTTTTTATGTGTAGAAACATAAAAAACTGAAACGATACACAGATGTGCACACAAACACCAATACAGTACATACACGCATGCAGCCAGTGGCTGGCAGAAATGATCAAGTTGTTTATGCAAAAGACACCAGAGTTCATTCCACAATGTCAGTCAGACAAATGACTGGTCAGAGAACAAGGGTCACTAATTTATTACACCACATTCATGAAAATGTCAGAAGTGGCAACTCTGATCCGAACAGCTCCTGTAAACACACTGATTAAAGGAAAAACACCTACTTTCTGGAGAGTAAACTATTTGCTAAAAGTGAATTTCATGCAGTCGGTAAATCTTGGCCGAGTAGATAAACAAACATTACAGTGTCCCGAGTCAACTTATATGTTTTTAGTAAATGTTTGTAGGTCTTTCCAAATAAGGATGATGATTCTTCGCTCATTTTTTTGTACTTTAATCAAATTATATTCTTTGATATATACTTTGATATACTCTTCTTATTCTTCATTGACCTTATTCTTTTGCCAGTGTTTTCTCTAAACATCTATTTCTCAATTTATGATTTCAATAGCAAATAGGCATGCTTCATTTTTCGTATTTATGATCCATCTTTATATCTTTTCAATTCATTCATTCTGTGTGGCAAACCTTGGTAAATTACATTTCTGTGATTCATTTAAATACCATCCTCCCATTTTTTTTTCAGGGAAATTCCTGCAAATACATATGCAACAAGGCCAGCTCCAAAAAAATTAAACATCTGCCCACACTTTTTAGCCTTTTCACAAAGCTGAGAGTGAGCCTCTTTATTAAATCCTGACCATTGTTTTTATAAGTCAACAAACAAACAAACGGTTTTGCACTGGTGCAGGCTGTGGAGGCTGGCCTGGAGTAGGGAAAGAATAGATTTGACTGAAGTCCTGAAACTGTCATGTGGCTATCTGAAGATAGTATGTTGTATTACTTAATTGGATATCATAAAGCATAAACAATCTGTCATGGTCCAGGTGAGTTGGCTGTAGTTCACGCCTTTGGGCGGAGCATTGTCATTGCATCTGCTTGCTCACCTGGCAGTGATCAAGAGCTCTCAACAGACAGTATTTAGGACCAGCGTCCTCATCCAATACCTAATCTCTGTTAGTAACAGGTCTCTCTTTGCGCCTTACTTTTCATCCCTACAATTACTTACCTCTTCTTCCTTGTGCCCTCAGCATAGCTGGACTGGCCATCGGGCATACCGGGCATTTGCCCGGTGGGCCGCTGGCGATTTTTTGTTTTTATGGGCCGATGGATTTTTTTTTTTTTTTAGGAAGGGTATATGAAAGGTGTTGGATTGGCCAATTGGTCATGATCGACTCTGGGCTGGACCAATTACAGCTGAGGAGGCCGGATGCACCCTCTCCCTTGTTTAGCAATCACGTGATTTTCGCTCATTGCATGCCGGGAACTCGTGGCAAAACAATCCAAGTACCGCATCAAATG